GTGTGAGAAATGAGCTGGAGAACAGATCTGCGGGTACGAGGTCAGCCACAGGTGTATGAGGTGGTACTATATGGGTAGAAAGAGGAAGTTTTGTTGGGTGATGGAATTGTTCTGTATCCTTTCTGTGATTATGGGCACATGAACCTCTATGTGAAAATGCACAGAACTATAGGCTGAAAAGGACAGAGAGGCACACTCTATTATGTAACAACTTAAGAAATATTTTAGAAAGGATATAAATGGTCTATCTAGTTTTCTTCTACAAAGATTCAAGAAAGATACCCAATATGAAGCTCACTATATTTGCACAGAGGTCCACAAAAATGAGGAGAATTAAGCTTCATAAGTAAAGAGAGACAATTGTTGGGGACCAGGAGATGACATAATGGTTACGTTGCTGGACTCCCACGTAGTTGATTGCAGTTCACATCCCAGACCCAGTGGCTTGAACTTCACACCAGGCACATATGCATGTGTGCCCAAACCCCCCAGAGGAGGATGGAGAAGGGACTGAGGCATGGCCATCCCCCTAAGGGGTGATTTCTTGCTTTCTGTCTCTGTCTCTCCAGCAAGCATACGCACCCTACAGCAAAAATATTTCTAAAAAAATAAATAAATAAAATAAACCAGAGGCCAATAAACAGGAACTTCAGACAGTAGCACCTCCCACAGCTGTCAGCCAAGGTACTGGAGCGAGCAGGCCCGTGGCACGACAGGGCCCTGGCCCCCCCCCCCCCCAAAAAAAAAAACTGGGGTTGTGCTGCTCGGTCCGCAGCTCACGTTGCCTTTTTCTGTGGTAGATCAGCTCGTAGTTGGTCTACACACACATCCCGGGCAGCACCAGCTCAGGATGAGCCCAGAGACATTTGAGAAGCTAGAAGGAATTCTTCAAGACTGCCCCGGCCCTTGGGCTATGCCTGTGGCCTGTCAGGAACCAGACCACACAGCAGGCAAGCAGCAGGCTGGCACGGCAAGCTTCCTGTGTATTACAGCGCCCCCTGGCGCTCCATCAGGGCATCACGGCCTGCGCTCGGCCTCCTGTCCGCCCAGCAGGACCATCAGGTTCTCACAGGAGCCCCGGGAAGGGACCATCTAGCTGCAGGAAAACCGGCTCCCACCGACTCCGTATCCATCACCTGAGCTGTGTGATTATTTCATTACATGTTACAACATAATAAGAGAAATGAAGTGCAAGCGCAATGTCCTTCAGTCATCCCCTCCCCCACCCCTTCCACGAAAAGCTGTCTTCTACGAAACTGGTGCCGGTGCCAAAATGGCTGGGACCATTACTACTGCCTGATGCTCTCCTCCAAGGAGACAGTTAAAAGACACAGCACTGAAGTGCACTCTTTATTTCTACAATAAGTAACAATGACGCATGACCTTGTAAAGCAGTTTTCTACTTTTAGAACTAGCTTATAGATAAGCTCAACCACTGCTTCGGAACACAGTGAATAGCGCAGAGCGACTCTGCTCAACAAAGGAACACAGCCCTTCAGAACATGCTGCAAAGTTTAATTTGTAAAAAATAAAATAACTCTCAAATTCCATTGACTGGGACCAGCACTTAGTATCATGGCTATGTCGCTGAACTCCCATGTAGCTAGCTGACCGCGGTTCAAGTCCTGGACCCGGTGGCTTGAACTCATGCAGGGCGTGTGTGCATGCGTGCCCAAAATCCTGAGAGGAGAATGTAGGAAAAGGGATTGCAGCATGGCCATCCTCCCTGGGAGGTGATTTCTCGCTTTCTGTCTCTGTCTTTCTCGCGAGCACACGCACCCTATAGCAAAAAAAAAAAACTCTCAAAAAATAAATAAATAAATAAAAATTCCACTGACTTGCTTATAAACTAATATAGTTCTTCAGATTGCACTGCAAATGTTACAAAACTCTGCTCTGTAAAAACCTCATAAATGGAGGGAAGGGAGACAGTGAAGGGCACAAGGGCACTCTGGCCTTCCAGGGAAGCAGGCAATGCGTCCAGCAGGCAGACTGAGGAGCAGCTGCGTGATGACACCACTGAAGGCTATCAGGGCATCGAGGGAGGGGGAACAGCAGCAAGGAGGACCCCTTTTTCTCTCTGTGCCTCCTGGTCTTGGTGGTGGGCAGGAGAGCCCGGGAGCAGAGGGCCTGGCGAGCCCAGCCGCCTGGGCTACTCCACTGACTGCCAAACACACAGAGCTGGGCGCACAGCCTCAGACCACTCACTCCCGTTCACAAGTTTAATTATGCCGCAAATGCTAACCAGAACCTGCTTAAACTCAAGCCGTTTCTGAACAGTCTTTGTTTTCTCTCTTTTGTACCCACTCTGAACAGCAGACATGAGGACACACACTGGGCGCACCTGGAGGTGGGCAGAGTAACCCTCCCCCGATGCTCATCTGGATTCCAGAAGGCACAGTGGCCTATCTGGGGGGGGGGGGGGGGGCGGCCCAGAGGGCTCCGCAGGCAGCTTCTGCAAAGGCCTTCCTGGGTGAACTCTGTCCCATGAGAGCGCAGCTGGAAGCAAGCAGCTCCGATCACCCCAGTCTGCTGGACGACAGAAACTGGGGGCCTCAGGACGATGCCAACGCTTCCCCAGCAGAGCAGAAACTGAAGGATGTCGGTCCTGGAGAGCCTTGAGCCACTGCCGGCTTCCCCAAACCTGCCTTCCTCCTGGCTTGGCTTGCAGGAGTTTGGGTCACTTGCCCTCTCAGAGCTAAGCTCACAGGTATCTTTAAAAGATGTATTTAATTTTGTCAGTATTATTCTTTTTAAAATTTCCTATAGAACAGGAGCAAGAGAGTGAGAGCGAGGGAGAGGTGAGCCAGCCTCCAGGTTCACACCTGGCGGCCACATGGGAGTCTAGCTGGCCCCTCTCCATAGAAGCCCCACTCAACAGAAAGGAAGCCGGCCCCCGCCCGGAGGCCCTGCCCGAGACAGCCTGGGCTTCCGGAGACCCGGGGCGGCTGCAGAGCCAGGAGCAGCTTGCAGGGGAAGGGCCTGGAGAAGGCCGCCCGAGGGGACAGAGGGACGGGCATCATCAGGGCGCACCGGGTCCCGGCCGGAAACGAGGGCAGGCGTCCAGCCAGCAGGGGGTGCACTCGGCACTGGGTCTGCAAGGGAGGGGTCAGGGAGGGGACCCAGAGGACACGAAGACAGGAGGGGCCGGACAGGATGGGACGGAGAGGGGACAGGGACGGGGGAGGGGATAAGAAGGGGTCGGGGAGGGGACTCGGAGGACACAAGGACTGGAGGGGACGGAGAGGGGACAGGGACGGGGTCGGGGAGGGCACAGGGGCACCTGCAGAGCCCCGTTCCCAGGAGGCTGCCGGGACGAAACCAAGTCGGCCGGCACGCCTGGGCCCGGCCGCAGCCCGCCGAAGCCCGACCGCC